CCCCTGGGTGGGATGCCATTGAATGGCAAGGTACCTCCCTCAATTTCATAAGGCTATCCTTGACAATTTGCTAGAACCAACTTATGCTTTTGGGTTGGTTTGTTTGAAAGGGGATTAATGCTTGTATAGGATTTAAAAGTTAACCTTGGTTCTAATTTCTCATAAAGAGGAGCATGTATAATAGCCAAGATTTTGTTGGGTTTTATCTTAATATGCTTGTGAAACTAACTGGAAAAAAAAATCCCTTTGCAAAGCTATGAAGATAAATTAAAAATTTACGCTAACCCTGGGTTAGGTTATCGTATCATGGACAACCCAACCCTGGGTAGAGAGAAGCACTGTAAGGGTGAAGTGTTTTGCCCATGAAGTCAACGCATTAACCCGATCAGGGGCTTGTTTCTTGAAAGTCCCAGTAACTTAACAGACTTGTAAAGCTGTTCAGTCTTCATTCAAGATGGGCATTTGAAAATAGTACAACTACCCTATCGGCCAAAGAAACAAAGAGGACTGGTTTGGGTGCCAGAACCTGCTTTCCTGTCTTTTAAAGTTTGATGCTAAAACATGGCTTTGGGCCCCGTTAAGTTACCGGGACTTTTGAGAAAGGGAACCCAGGTGTTGAACCCAGACCACCTAACCCATAGTTAAATGCACCAATTACCATGCCTTTGCATCTCCCCTTTTTATTCATTAGAATTATAATTTATTATTTTAGCTCATGAAAGCAGGAGGGGGGTTGGGGAAACATGCTTTAACTCATTAATGGCTGCAGCTTTTGTGGAAAACTGTGTTTTGAAGCTAGTCGAGCAGATTTCGGGTCACTGTTGCAGTTTTAAAAGCTCAAACTTACCAAAAACCCCTTGACAGCTTGTACACTCGACAGCCTTTTGATCCAATTGCAAAATGGTGGCCTGAAAATCTCAGGCACGCACAGAAAGCAATAGTTTTTGGGTGGAAAAGTAATGCCCCACTTACGACTTTTACTTTTCTCTCTTTCTCCTGCCCTTTGTTTCCCCTCTCCTTGCCTGAAGTTTCTCCTCACTTGCTGGAAATTTAGTAGGCTTCATTTTGGTGTAGAGAAACTACTCATTGTTTTCAAAGCACACGCTCAGAAAGGTAGGTGGGTAATGGAACAAGATTTTCGCGCAGATTTTCAGGTCAAAGTTACATGCTTTTTTGGCTATTTCTCCAATCTCCTTCACTCAATTGCACTCATTCTGGTATCATTTGTAAGATATTTTCAACCTGTTCAAGTACGTGCTCAAAGTCGTGCTCCAGGGTTAAAAGTGTTGACGTCACAAGGCGTAGAAAGGGTATGGGTCCCCATGGGTGCATACGAGCGTACTGGACGTCAATAGGTTAAGTTCCCTCCTCTCCACACCTGTGTACAGTAATTTTAGCACAGAATCTGGTATAATATAATATAATCTAATATAATATAATAAAATATAATCTGTTCATGTGTGCAAGTCCTGGTATTTCCATAGAAGACAGAGATTACTTTTTTTTTTTAGGATAAGTGGTATGAGTAGCTGTATCAACCGTCTGATTACAGGTGTCACATTACAGCCAACCCTCTGATTACACTGTCCGATTACAATTGTAGAGAGTCATAAGTGAAAAATTAAGCAGCAATCACATTCCAGGAAATTGTAAAGGTTATGATTAAATACGTAGATGCATGATCCTTGCAGTAGAGAGGGCTACTTATGCAATAGCGAAAATCAGACCTGAAAAAAATCAGGCCTGTACAGGATTCGAATCCCGTACAGGCCTGATTTTTTTCAGGTCTGATTTTTGCTATTGCATAAATAGCGTTCTCTACTGGGAGGATCGTGCATCATACGTATCTAATACCGCAGTTCAAAATATATGAACTTCATATATTCATTGTATCTGAGTTATGATTAAAGCATATTAAAAATAATCCAGATGTCAGATTGAAGTTTAATAGTAGTCAGCTTTATTGAGACTAATGTTTTGATCCCAATTCTCCCATAAAGAACTTTACTTAAATGCCAAATTCTCTAGCGAATAGAAACATACTCTTATTAAAGATAATTTAGTTAGATAAGTAATTACTTGATTTTGATTTTGATCCTAAAGGAAGCACTAGCAAAACGTAATGATGATTAAAACTAAACTTAGTTTTCAATAGATAACGAGAAATAAAGGACAGATTGCATTCTTAATAGCCTTAATTATGGAATGAGATAATGAAACCCTGCTCCGGAATCAACAAAGTGGTAGCCTGTTCCTAATAGAGTGAAGACAACCCTAGTAATATCACTTTCCCTCTATTGGCATATTTGCAAAGTAGTTGAGAAGCTGGAGTTTCCATCAGCTCTTACTTTGAGTGACTCTTATGCAAACATTATTCCTAGCAACTACTATTCCGACACCCAAAACTCGATTGTGCGCACTCAACTGGAAAGCTTAAATTGAAGTTTTTGTAAGTGCTACTAATTTGTCAAGTTACATACAGTTAGAGAAATTGAAACAAACTACACAATAGTCACCATTCATAAAATTCCAATCCTACACTACAATGTAAAGAAAATTCTATAGTTGTAAAGAAGTTCCCTTGTAGGAAGAGTGTTGGTTCACTCAGGATAACTATTTACAATACCAATACTTTAATTTAAATTAATATCTGAATAAAATGCTATTGATATATGCTCTTTTTCTGATGTCTTATCTGTAGGTTGATCGCCTTTGTTTTGTTGTAGTTACATTTTCCTGAAAAAAGAAAAAAAGAAAGGGAATCTTGAGAGTGAGGAAATTTATCAGGGCTGTGTGGTTTAGCAGCGCTCAGTGGTCCCTGGCACCTTACTTTTGGTCTTGGGCAACTCAAGAATCTTAGTTTTTCCATAAAAAGCATATGCTGGGCATCCTGGATTTCACAGTTTCAGAGCACTGGGCTCCCTTCAATCTTTCTTAGAGCACAACCTTGTTTATGTTAAGGTAAAATTTTTTGAGGTAGGTGGCATGTTGAAACCCATTTTGACTTAGGGCCACAAAACAAAAATGAATGCTTCAATGGGGGAATGATACCTTAGGATGATGATAATGGTGATGATGTCAAGGATAATGATGGAGAAAATTACTTTTATCATTAACATTATTTCACTGTCAGAAGTGGCTTGTTTCATGACACTGCACAATGATCTGACAAGAGTTTGAGCCTGGACCTCCAGAACAGAAGTGCAACAATCTAGGCACACAACTTTAGAGAATTCTAACAAACCTGGGTAGATACATACCAGCTTCCACTGAAGAATTTTGATCCACTCTTCAGCTTCTTGAGTGGAATTTGCATAACAGAAGAATGTTCTGTATGGCATGACAATCCTGAGGAACAAGAGATTTGAAGCATGTTAAGTCTTAATTGTTCTCGTGCAGTAGTTGTTGAAAATTTAACGCTAAATCATTTCATCTGGCATGTGATAAGGCACTCAAACAAGCTAGGGTATAAGCCAATGATGAACCTTGCATTTTTCCTGCCGCTTGACTTTGAAATTGCTTGTACCAGAGAACCTAAAGTAGCCTGCATATTAAGGTGATCTGGTGAAGTCATTTGAAACAAAGGACCAGCCTGAAGGTCATGTTCAACTCGTACCTCTCAGGCAGATCCAGACTTTGAGCTATGGGGCTACGAGGGTTGGGGGGGGATTCTTTTTTTGTGTGTGTGGTTGTACACCTACCCCCTTTTCTTCCTTTTGCAATTTTTTTTCCCCAAAATAAGGGGGCCTAGGTCCCCCTGGGCATTTCCCCTATATCTGCCACTGCCTCTTGAGTAGAAAACAGATATATGGAACAGCCAAGGAATGGGTAGTCAATGAAACATACCTGATAATGAAAATTTGAAGGTTACCTGAAACAATTTCCTTTTCCTAGTGAGTCATCTCTTGCCACTTCTTGACAATCCTCGAGGTCTATAGTTTTAATTGGTTCTCTGTCCTGAAAGGCAAATTTAAGGCATATTCATTGTATCTTAAGGCATTTAGTCACCTAGAAAATTGCTTGCACTTCTTACAAATAATTTAATAATTCCAAATAGGACACAACTCACTCCTTTTGTTTTAAAGTACTTCAGTTCATTCTTCAGCAGTACAAACCATCTTGTTTTCCAATTCTGCTAGAAAAAAATGAATCATCTTAGTAACAGAAAATGTGCACTGCACTCAACGAACAAGAAATTCTCACACCTTGTGTACAGGTGAATCTGTAGTCTGATCTAGAGGGCGTTAAAACGTTTTTTCTCACCTTTACTTTGCCTCCAAGTTTTGTGAGATATCCTTCTTTTGAACCAAACTAAAAAAAAAAAAAAAAGGCAAAAGGGCATGTTAACCCATTTGTTTCTCAACTTGTTATCCTCCACTCAAAGAGGGCGCATTCAGTAGCTAGTAACAATAATTTATAAACTTGTAGAGTGCATTCCACACCTAAGTTATTCAGACCAAAAACATATTTCCCATAGACACCCAAAACAGGGGCAGTTTAGGATGTTGGGAGGGTGGATTAGAGAAATCAAAAGAAAAATCTCCTCATCCAGTGGCTCCTATTCACGTTAAGAATTTTTATGTTATACTGTTATTCTGAACACTCTTTTGTGTGATTGTATGACAACAAAGGCAATGCAGTCAATAAAGAGTTCTGTTGGTAGACAGGGGAAATATGGAAGAAAATATCCCCATTTGACATTAAGAAATTTAAATCTAAAAATTGGCGACTTTCGGTGTGTTATTCAGGGCGATTGAAAAGGTAAGACCAGCTGGAACATGAAACACCATTTATGTTGAGAGAGTGGATTATGTGAAAGAGCCTGTGACAGAGCTTGGGCCAATCTGTGCTCAGGGTGACCCTCACTCTCCACTTCCGCACTAAAAAGAAGAAAAGAAAAAGAAATGGAAAAAGTTCCAAATAAGATTTTTAGCGGTTCTCACTTACAGAATGCACACCATCGTCCATACTGTTTTCTATGCTACTTTTTCTGTTTTTCCCCCACTCTGCATGCACTCGCACTTTCTCGTATGTTGTTGGTTCTTCAATATCTCTTGGATATGGATATTTCAATAATGTAAGGACCCCTGTTAAAGTTAATGATCCACAGAGTAAATTAGCTCAAGAAGACAACAATGCAAAATATCTTCAGATAGATAGACATTTATTAAGAAGAATACCTTAATAGCAGCTGGAAGCTGAATTGCAAAGGTGTACAAATTATGTAATAGAACTATACAATAAAATCAAACCTAAAAGGGAACTAATTTACATATACAATTGTAATAAATGTTAGTTAAAATGTCTTGCGCTTTCTGGAATGAAAGCATCTCTGAACCAATTTGTTTTAAAGGAAACTCTAAATGGTCTGCGTCGTCGTAACTCTATAAGTTGATCTTGGTTATCGAAAGGCAGTAAGTGGTACAAACAATCCAAGGGATTGGAGACGATGTTGTTAAAGAATTTTAAGCAAAGGTCTTCTCTCTGATGCCTTAGGGAAAACAAAATGCAACAACTTGCAGAACAAGGCTTTGTACTGGCCAATGAACAAAGGGAGAAATAATTTTCACACACTCACCTTACACAGACATGGGAAAAGTTATCTATAGTAGCAAAGAGGCCCAGTCTGTCAATTTAGAAGAGGTATCTGATGATTGTTTGCCGTTTTATGGCCCTTCATCAGTGAGAACGAGTCATGCCCATTCACACACTGATATGCTCTCATTCAAGATTTGACCACAGTAAAGGTACAAACTTACCTGAATCACCACCAATCAAAGGCTTATTTTCAAAATGTTCCACAAATTCACTGATATTTGAAAATGATCCCATTCCAAATTTGAACTGTGAACCATCCCAGCCAATTTGAAAATGCTTTACAGAGCTAGCGCATCTGAAAAAAAAAATGTCAAATTAAAATTGTTAGATTCCTTTCATTGCCTAGCCATACCTCTCTCAAGTGGTAAAGATTATGTGGTTTGCCTGATCTGTGTATAGAAGTGTGGCTTTCAATGGGTCTCTGTAACCACACCTGTCTGTTGTAACAGCCTGAACAGTTATCAAGGATACATACCATGTTGGAAGGATTCTACTAACCAAAGAGACAGCTCTTGTAAGTGTATCTGTTGTTGAGATCTTACGAACTTATCCGAGAGATCAGAAGGACTTACCTCACTGACAATGAATATTCTCCTGGATTAGATGCACTTGCTCGAAGTAAATAACTTCCATCTTTTCCATTGGCCATCAACAGGCCCTCGGCCACATGACGACTTATGTTCTCGTGATACCAACTGTAAAATATACAAAGAAAAATTCATAATCTACTAGCTCCCCACAATAAAACAGCAAAAGAGAAATAAGGAAACAAGAAAAGGAAAAACAAGAACCAATTTAATGAATACAATTTAATTTCTGCTAGGTTCTAATTTTGTTTATAAACACCTCTAAAAAAGTTTGCAATGGTAAGGAACTTGATCAAAGAGGCTTTGAGTCTAAAATAACGTGGGCTTATGATTAAATCATTTGCGTTCGGGCATAGACATATTGGAATATCGTTACAATGCGGTATCAGCACCTCAAAAGAGGTTAAATATACACACAAACAAAACGCCTACCGATATCGATATATACAAATAATAACACAACATTTAACTTAGATCAAAATTATGAGAGACGTCCAAGAAAAATGACACATGAACGCTCCTTAAAATTCCCGATAAATTTAAACGAGAAAAATCAACCATCAAAACACTTTTCCTGCCGTTTTCAAATCAGACATCTATTTTTAAGGGTTTCATTGTAAAAAATGCCTATTTTTGGCGGTACTATGCCACTCTGTAAGGTTTTAAAGACCGATCCATTTCCTTACATTAAAAACATCAGCTACAGTACAATAGGATGGCCTAAATTTTCTACAAACAAAACAATAGCTTCTATTTTTCAATGAATGTATACCGCAGCTAGTCATCAAACGTTTGGTACAAAGAGCTAGTCTAGGGGTAAACGGAAAAGGTATTTTTTAAACAGAAAACTGGAGAAATAATTCTTTAAAAAAATTTGTCAATTTAAGGTCAATAAAATAGAAAAATTGGCATCAAATAATTTACCTAATCTAATAAACATACTGCATGATTTTCACGATACGCAATCTAAATTAACCAACGCATCCCAATTCTACGCCAAATTAAGTCACGTATAATATTTTCAAAGGAAATAACCCTCTAACTTGCTTCGATCTTTCTATTAGCTGTATATTATGAAAATTGAATACATAACGCTTCTTAAAATTGATAAGTAGGGTTAAGATAGCCGGTAAAGAACCTCACCTTAATCGTTGAACCTCAGCGTTACCTTCATGGTCGGCCATGTTTGTTGTATCTTTGTCAAAGCTGAGAAATCACCTGCATAAATCCCCTCTCGGGATCCCAGGAGACCAAACGTCATATTTACTGAGTGGGGGACGGAAGGGCTGGGTGAATTTGAAACTTCCGGCCGGACGTAAAACAGTAAACCGGAGTCAAAAGTACGAAAAAAGTTGCCCAATTTCAATTATTGTTTACGGTTAGTAACTGCAAAGTTTTTGGCTCACAAAACTCTTTAAAACTCATATACTTGGAGCGAACCAAGTTGATGCATTTTAATTCAGGCGGAAATTTTTGGACTGTTGAAATCACATTAAAATCACGATGAAAATTCATGAACTTGTTAAATGCTGAGATAAAACACAAAATAACTCGGATGTTTTGCCACAAAGGTTGTTCATAGAACACACCCCAAATTTCCATAACAGGTAAATTTTGTCCACCGTAGTTTAGACATATGTAAATTAGCTTTTCTATTCACAGGACAGTTTAATTAAGTGATCCTCTTGAATATTCATAATAACGGAAACGCACATTTTCATTCAGTTATTTCAAAGACTGAAGAATTTACGATCTGAAATAAAAACCATAGATTATTCTCCGTTTCTACGAACTGTTCGGGTAAAGGGCTAACGCTCGACGAAGGGCTAACGCTCGAAACGTCAGCTTTAGTAATCGTTACGGTGGCCAACTTACCATTTCAACTTTGTTGATATATCCAATTATTTCCTTACTCCCACCGACGCAGCCCCAAACAGTTTCTTTCGAAACCATCAGCCTTTATTCATATGGAATAAACTGTCAACTCAAACAGTCCAAGCTAAGAACATTACTTCTTTTAAATCATTAGCCATATGGGACATTCAGAACACGAAGACCCCGAACCACCTGAAAAGATTTTGAACTACATACATTTATTGTTTCTTTTAGACTTCACATATTTATCGTAGATTATTAGCACTACAAATTAGTTATCCTATATCTCCCAGCGTTAGCCTAGCTATTTGGGAGAACAAGTTCCAAGTCTGAGTCCAAGACCTGATACCCCCATCAGGTTCTGCAATATTTTTCTGTCCCTCCCCCACCAGAATATAAAGTTTCCCCCTTATCCTCTTTTGGCGACGATTGACCACCTCTCCCCACCGTCCTCCTGAAACCTTGACCCCCCCGAAATCCTCCACCGCTCTCCGCGGGAGAAAAACTAATATCTGCTCCCTTAGTTTAGTTTATTAGCTGCGTTTGATATTAGCAGGAAAATCAAAACAGAACTAAAGAAAACAGAATGCAGTTTTAGTTTAGCTCTTGAGCACACAATAGTTAGTTTTTTTCCTCTTATTTTATCAGATTCTTACACGTGGTAATCAAGAAGGAAAAACTATTTGACACCTTGAATCTTGCTGACGTCCGAGTAGATAACGCATTCCTATTTTTAATGAAAATGATGATTAACATAATAAACGACGGAGGCTTAATGAACAGATGTCTGTTCTCTCACCCACGCTCCAGAAGTCTGTCGGCTGTCTGACGTGAACAAACGACAATAAAGTGTCTTTACGGCCCACTGACAGAAGGGTGTTTTCCTCAAAAAATTTGATCAGACATTGCAGCGAACGTGAAAGAAAATAAACGAATTAAGACGAATTAAGTTGCGAATTCTCCTAAGCTTAGGCTGCTTTATACTTTTACATGTAACTTACTTTGTAAATGCAGATGACCGCGACAAATTGAATTTTGGGCCTAGGCCGTGATGTTCTTCCGCGCCTTACATCCTAACCTTCTTAAATAGCAGGGATACGATGAAAACTTCTGTTTCTATTACCACTTTATTTAAAATTTTTAAAGCTTCATCTACAGTGGAATCAGTACTGGAGCCCTCCTTATGAGCGCCTCTCCCGTCACGCTTCAGGCCGAAATTTTAGATGAAATACTTTATCTTTCTATTCGGCATCATGAAAGGGTTCATTGCGAACAAATTTGAAGCCTTACGCTAGTTTACTGCTCATTTGTTCTATATACAGCAGCATGTTTTTCATTATAAAGAAAAAGGAAGAAAAAAAAAGAAAAAAAAAAAAAATTTGCTTCCCCCACCCCACCCCAGAAGGACATAAGAAAACACCAGAAACTAGTCCTCTTTCGGTATTGTCGCCTGGAGTATTTTTGCACGTCTGGGAACATGTCGTTGGTAGTTTGCCAGTTTTCTCTCTTTATTCAACCCTTTGGCAAGATTTTTCAATGATGAGATATCAATTAATGTTTTTTCATGTTTTTAGGATAGTGAGCTGTCATATGCACATCGGGATGGGCGATTGCTGGAAATTATTGACGAAAACTGGCATAAGGACAAACTACCAAGTGACGGTATGTAGCTAGATGAACGGCTTCAACCTTAACGTACGGGTCGATTTTCTCACAGATAACTCTAGATCACCATTCACAGCGTTGAAATTCTTGAATTATAATACCCTCAGCACTCTTCATCGCAGATACTCGTAAGTACTTCACCGTAGGGCGGCCAGAATTATATACAAATTGCCCCGAGATATGCCTACTGAGGAAGTTTACCGACATTCGAACTGGAATACTTTAACCCTGTATTATAAACTTCGTTTAATTAAACTACTCCATAGCGTGTTTATAGGTGAAGCACCTACGACTCTGTCATACTGAACAAACCATGCACCACATACAATTTTCGAAGGAGTAATAATATAATTGTCCCGCGTTTTAACTCGCAATTTCTAAAAAACTCCATTAGCTATAGAGGCGCTATACTCTGGAACGCTGTCTCGAAACATTTCACAGACCAGTTTTCAGTTTTTTATCGCAAAGTGAAGAAGGACTCTTATTTTAAGGATCTCGATTTTAGCGCACAGTCAGTCCAGTCACTACCCAGGCACTACCAAGATTTAAATAATGTAAATAATTTTTATTATTCTTACTGTATATTTTGTAGAGTGATTTTAAGGGACACTATTCTTATTGTTATTGTAATCATATTCACACGACCCCACAAGCACACGGCTTTAAACCTCATTGTGTTTAAATAAAGGATATGATTGATTGATTGATTGAAGATTTCTCCAACAGAGAGTTCGTTTGATAAATGACCTCCTACAAACTTGTTCCCCAGTTGTCTTGTTGTTTTGTTGGCCAAAATTGGATCCTCGTTTATTAAAATGATTAAATAGTACCACATTGGGAAACCTGGGTGTTATTTTTGGAAAAATCACAAATTGCACCAAAAGTAGTCATGTTATCACGGGGTATTATGAATATATTGATATACAACAACATGAAGGTACCAGTAAGGGTCTTGGTCAAGGGCACAACATAGTGACCTCATTTTTAGTTCAAAATCGAGCCTTTTGATCCAGTCTTCAGATAACCAATCATTGAGTTTCCATGCCTCTCTCATACTACACTAGCGTGATTGCATGGGGAAATCCCAGGTACCCAACTTTCCCCCTTCCCCCACCCTATGAGGAATATTATTTTGATTCAATGACATACATTGTACCAACCTAATGAGAGTATCCAAAAGGTAATGACCCAAAATAGGGTTATAAGCTACTGGCATATCTCATATTATAATTTGAACTATAACTTAGCCCCTTTTTCGAGCTTAAATAACACTCAATTGACTTCTCTTTTTATTTAAGACATTGCTGTTCCAGAATTTGAACTTCCACCTGTAGACGACAGTGACCGTGAGTATAAGGCTTGTGGAGTTTTGTCCAAGGGGAGATGTGGTCTAGAAACCACATAATTTAGCTCTACTATATTTTCATGAAAAAAATTTGTTTCTAGAGGTTCAGATTCGAAAATTTTTCAAAAATTGTCTTCCAATGTTGTGATAATTTAATAAAGGATGTCATCATTTTGCAAATGTAGATCCACAACATGTAGTTCTCAGATAGGTACTGCTCTATTTATCACTCCAAAATAATTTGTGGAGTCAAGAATGCTTTTTGAGTAGTTCCCTTTTGTTAAAAAGATTTCCAAAAGAGAAAAAAAAGGAAGTTAGATTTTTTCATATTACTAGTACTGTTATGTAACCAGGTAGCTAAGTGTGACTAAACTTTGTGGCATCTCCAGTCAAAGTTTTAGCTGATTTGAAAACATTTTCTCAAAGGGTAGAATGCTGTTTGAAATCTCAAACATTATACTTCCCAATAACAGAGATGAAAACAATCTTCTCCCTCAAGCATATTTCAGCTGTGTCTCTTGTAACCACGGCGCTATACTGTTTTGTTTAACTGTTGTCTTGTAAACTGCAAATCACTCGTAATGTGTTTTTCTTTTATTTTAAAAGACAATGGAGCCACAGACTCACTAAAGGAGCAAGAACAGAAATGGACTGATCTTGGAATACAGCAGCTACAAGAATCACCTCAGCACACTGGAAACTAAATGAAAACAGTGTACTTGACAAAACACTATACTAATGAAAGGAAAAGCCTCCGAGTGTCACCCAGACAAAGCCATTGAAATAAACTATGCGCAAGTAACTATGCAAAAGTGTTTTCACCTCTAACAAGTTATCTAAACTAATATTTTCACTATCAAAGCATAGGAAGAAGAGTGGAGAAATGCAAACAATATTGCCATTAAAAGCTGTTAGGATTGGAAGGAGAACATTTGACAGTAACCAATCAGTTGTCGTAGCATCTCTAAACACAAGATATTTTTTCTTTTTCCCAGTTGCTTGAAAGTGTAGTCTAAATTACATTTAATTACTTCATGTTTTCCAAAACCAGAATGCATCACAAATTTTTTTCAAAAGAATATGTGTTGAACTTTTATTTAACTTTTTATCTGGAATTTTTTTTGTACAAACTCACAAAGCCAAAGTATTGCTTAACTAGAACAACTTAACGTGTAAGTACAATGCACTTAGTATACAAATAATTTACTAACAAAATGTATATTATTTTGTGTAAAATATGTTTTGAAAATGTATAGTGTATTTATACCTGTACAATTAACAAGATAACCAATTTGCAAAAATGGATTTGATGTAAAAACAGTATAAATATAATTAATTTGATTAGAATGTGGGAACGCTGCTGCTGTAGCAAAGAACTTGGAACAAAATTATAAACAATAAATAAATTGACATCAAAAGTTAATATTTGAGATGCAACTTTCCAAAAGAACAAAGAATGTGAACTTGAAGTCAACACACTCTGTAGATTATTTAATAAACATTCTGATCACCAGAAGTGATTCAAATGTAACCTCTCCTGTGAAGTTTCAATACACTATCCTATTGTAAGGTGATGAGAATTGATGAGCTCATCAACTTGAGATAGCTTTCTTGGTAATTCATCAAATTTATAGGAAATGCTGTATAAAAGAAGGAAAATTCCATATAAAATATTGGGAAAAATGGCTGTAAGAAGGGTGGATAAATAAAATAATTATATCTGCCAAATAAATTGTGATCCAGATCCAGAAAATAACGGCAATGGATACTCTAGTTTGTTTGACTGATACTTATCTCTTGAGGGTGATATCTCTGAGATTTATACTTGAGAGTTTTGAAGAAAAATGTAGTTAACCCTCTAACTACCAGAAGTGATTAACATGTAACTTCTCCCAATGATATCCAAATATTATCCAGCAAACAGGTAATGAGAGTATTTAAAGTTATCAGGTAGAAGTTTCTATTTTGATCTATTACCAAACTCTTCCTACTAATTTTCTGGGAAATGTAAAACAGCTAGAGGGGAGAATAAACTGTTAGATCTTTGGAGTTAAAGGGTATGAGGATGATAATTGAACTAAACTGCCCCAAAATGTACAATTTTCAGTGTTCCTGCAGGATTTGCCATCTCTGAAGAATCATCAAGCCCCAGCTGCAGAGAAAATTATTGAATTCATAAATTAAACATCCACAGTAGATTTAACATAGAGATTCTCTATTTCTTTACCATCTTTCTTATTCTATTTACAAAACATGATGCTATTAACATTGCTGATCCTAGCAATATACAGGACCCATCATATATGAACTTTGCAATGGGCCTTGCTCACTATAGAGTCTTAGACTCTATAGTGAGCAAGGCCCATTATGTGACTCGGCGGTAAAGCATCAGAGCACACAATCTGAAGGTCTGAGATTTGATTCCTCATGGGGACTCCAAATTTTTTCATTGTCCGACCCCTGTCACAGTGGTAGCAGGACTACTAATCTTTCCTGTTTGTTGAACAATTTGTAGTAATTGATGTGGATTGTATATGCAAGTTTATCATAAGGTTACCTCTTCAATTTCTTGCCCTGAATAGTGGTGACCTAGGGGAAAATGCAAAGGGAAGGAAATAAAAATTATAATAAAATAAAAAACTGAGAGTAATTAAAATATGGAGAAATCAAGTAAACTATGCAAAATATGATAAGACAAGAGCATAAAGTTCTATTATTCTATTAACTGCCTCCTGGTTAGCTCAATGGATAGAGCGCCGGACTGTTGTGCGGGAGGTCAAGGGTTC